CCAGTTCACACAGAAAGCCAAATGCACACTTTGCCTGAGAGAAATATTCTTGTCACATAAGAGGCCCTATTAATCAAAAATCACATTATGGCTCCTGGAATGAAGTTTCCTTTACTACTTTTTCATAATAATCCCAGATAAGATAAAATTGGTAATTGCACGTTCTCTTCTGATGGGAGATAATACAAAAGTGGTATAGAAATTTGACTTAAAGGAGTATATTCACTTGGCTAATAGGCTTCCATTATGCAGCCTTTACTTATTCATTCAGTACAATTTTGCCACATATTGAAAAGTTTAATTAGAAGTTACATGTTACATTGTTCCTCAGTGTTAGCCACAGAGAAAAGTTTTCAACAGCCAAAGAGGGAAGGAGGAGATGGAAGCCTAGGGCTACAGACAGTGAAGACTGCTTACATGGACTACCTATGCCGACCTCCAGGAAGACTGGTTCCCAGACAGGTCACCTTCAAATCAGAGATTAAGGACTAATTTCATGTCAACAAAGCTCACCTTTTACAGTGGCAAAAAGGGTGATCTGTGGGTTTCAAGGAATATGTTAATGGTGTCATAATGTTAATGTATGATCCCCAGAAGCAAGGCTACCCTTCCATCAATAAGCTAATAACAATGGCTGGTTTTGTGAGACTTTTTTCCCAGCTAACAGATAATACCTTAATTACTAGTCATCCATGCCTATTAATCAATTAAATAATAATTGCATTGCCGACATCAGCAAGCCAAGCCCAAGCAGCACTTTCACAATGGAATATTCCTGATCAAGACACAAAGCCCATAAATACCTACCTATCATATCACTGGAGTAGAATCTTGCAGGGCCATGATTTGGCTTCCTAGAGGCTGAATGGTCACAGCAGCCATGATACAGGCCTTCGTCTTTCACTAGGACCCTGTGTGGGGGAAGGCCTGGGATCCAAAAAGGACAAAGAACATCTTTGTAGACTGTGCTCCTTCTGTGTCTTCCTCCCACTGCGGTACAGAGACAGCTGGGACAGTTATCTGTGCAGTCTGAGTCTCAAGCTGAAGCGATGGCACATTCATATACATTTGAAAAGTATGTGATACTGTCTACTCATCTCTGGAAATGTCATCACAGACACACCCAACGGGGTGCTTTACTAGTTCATTAATGTAACTGGTTACTAGTAACTGTGTAACTAGCTTCATTACAGTAGAGCTGCGGCTCTACAAGATAGCTTAGCTACAGGGTATCATCTTCATCTCATCACTATCATCATTACCTCATTACTACCGCCCTCAGCCTCACTACTGTCTTAGTCAGGGTTTCTATGGCTGTGAGGAAACACGATGACCAAAAAGCCAGTGGGTGTGGAAAGAATTGATTTTTCTTACACTTCCACATCGCTGTTCACCACTGAAGGAAGTTAGGACAGGAACTAAAACAGGGAAGGATCCCAGAGGCAGGAGCTGATGCAGAGGCCATGGAGAGATACTGCTTACTGTCTTGCTTCCCCTGGCTTGCTCAGCCTACTTTCTTATAGAAAGCAGGACCACTAATCGAGGATTGGCACCACCCACCATGGGCTGGGCCCTCCCTAGCTGATAGTAATTGAGAAAATGCCTTACAGCTGGATCTCATGGGGGCATTTCCTCAACTGAGGCTTCTTCCTCTCTGATGATTCTAGCTTGTGTCAAGGTGACACACAAAACCAGCCAGTGCAACTACCATTATTACCACCATCATTACCTTCATTACTGTCCTCTCAGAGATTCCACTGGGAAGAGTTAATCCCGCCCCCTGTCCCCAATAGCTTGGTTCAGTTTGTCAAACATCAATGGTACATTTCAGGAGCTTGGCATTCCAACTCCTCCTTCTCCAAACATGGATGCCAACTACCCCAAAAGGGATAGAGGTCCCTCCCTAGACAAGCAAGGAGCCCATTTGGGGCAGAGCAGAAATTATTTGTGAACCAACTCTATTAGTCAGGATTTTGAGTCACTGCAACTAAACACCCAAGGGAAAATAATCTTAAAGAAAGAAATGTTTGTTATGGCTCATTGTTTCAATCTACCATAACAGGGAGGGATCAGAGAAGGAGGGCTCACATCATGGAGAGACAGGAAGCAGAGAGAAGGGGACGCAGGGAGTGGACAGGACAAATACACCCTCCAAGGATAAACTCCCAGTGACCTACTTCTTCAATCAGGCCCCACCTCTGACCTTTCACCACATCCCAATGATGCCGTCACATCACGAATCCTTCAGGAGGCTAAGCCACTCAGTAGATCAGACTCTTCATGATCTACTACTCATCTCTGGAGGCTTCATCACAGACACACCCAGAGGTGTGCTTTGCTAGTTCATTAATCCAGTCTAGCTAACCATCACACCAACTACTTACTCTTGATTTAGCTTGTCCTTAGGCAACATATGTTTATAGAGCTTGAATCTTCTTCAGAGAAGAGCCTTGTGAGAAACTATTCATTTATGTGGCCCAACTTGAATTCAAACCCTCCCTGCCCCATAGGGATGGCAGAACTGGAGAGCAGCTATCCCTGGGTAAACCATGGTGGTTCAATTCCTTTCCCTTATCCCAAATCACAACCATGAGTGAATGGAACACACATTAAGGGCAGTACTGAATCTTACTGGTAGTGAAAACTTCACCAGAATAGAGACCACCTCTCACCACAACTGACCAGAATGTGTACTGGAGCACCCAGTTCAAAGCAGCTGATTGATGTTCAAGAAGGGCACACTATGGAAGGATATGAAGACCATTATGGCTCTGAAAGAACTCCTAGGACACTCAGGTCTCTGCCATTTATCCACTAAACAAATAGTATTGACTGTGGCCCACATGTCAATCAAAGAAACCAGTGAGTGACCTGATGAAGGTCATGGACCAGAGTTGAGGGTAGGTGGGGTGTTGTGTGACACTACTCCTTGGGATACATAAACAAACTTCTACTCACCCCAAATAGGGAAATAATAACAGACCAAAGTAACAATCCCAGGAAAATCTATCTTGGTGAAGCAACGGGAGTCTTGTGAGAGCTGGGGCTTGGCTGGGGCTTGGATTATCTCAACCCAAGCAAGGAAAGGGAGCAAAGGGGGGCAATGTGTGTCCATTTTTATGAGGGAAAAGACAGCCAAGGAAAGGGAAGGGTGTGGAGATGGGATCCCAGACAGAGAAAAATTCTGGATCCCTTTACCCAGATCCCAGCCAGGCTGTGGGAATGGGATCCTTGGGGGTGAGGATGCTATTTGAGACGCATGTGTATTAGTCAGGCTTCTCCAGAGGAATAAACCAATAAATTGAATGCACATTAGGAGGGACTTTATTCTACTGGCTTATACAATGCAGGCCGAATAGTCCAGCAATGGCTGCCTGCACATCGTGGACAGTGAGAATGCTGTAGCTGCTCAGTCCACAAAGATGCAAGCCTCAGTCATCCCAATCTGGGACCAAAGGCATGGAGGATTCTTGTCTTCAGTCCAGGTAAGAAGTCCAAAGAAACTTCGTTCTGATGTCGGGGGAGGATGATGGTGATGGCAACAGCCACAGCAGCAGCACTCACCAGAAAGAGACAAAGACAAGAAGGCAAAGCAAAACAAAAACCCAAAAGCTTTTCCCTAGGACTCTATATCCAGAAAAGTGCCACACATATTTAGGGTGATTCTTCCTGCTCTAACTAAGCTACTCAAGAAAACCCCTCCCCGGCACACCTCAAGACTCACCTAATCTAGATAAGGTCTCACTGGTATACCCAGAGGCTTAGCTCATGGGTGATTCTAGATCGTGCCAAGCTGACAATTGAAACTAACCAGCATCTTATGCATGCACCGTGTAAGGATGGGTTGTGGCTGCTATGATGCAGTACCCCAACCTAGTCACGTGTACCCCGCCAGCCTTAGTCTGTCTTTTCTTCCACCTGGATTTCCCTGCAGGTGGCAGGAAACTCACTGTTTATTAAGTACCTGCTTGGTAGCAGGCATGGAGTCAGTGCACCGTCTCCATGTGACTTGATCATTTCAATCATCCTGTAAGGTCCCCTGGTCTTTGACGATGAGGAAATTGAGGCTCAGAGAAAAAAAGTCCGGTCCACATAAGAGGAGGGAAACAGAGAGGCAATGGCCTGACTGGTCAATTAATAGACACAAGAGCAGTTTCACCTCCCCTACCTGGACACAAGCACCACTTTCACTTAGATGGCAGGGAATTCCACACAGAGGAAAGATGTGTAAATGTAAATAAGAGCTAGAGGCGAGTCTCCAACAATAGAGTGCTTACCCAGCTCGCACAAAGCCATGCATTCCATCCACAGCGCCAACTGAACAAGGCAGCGTACGCCACTCATCCTGACACTTCAGAAGTGAAGCCATGAGCATCAGAAGTTCAGCTGTATAGTGAGTTCAAAGTCAGCCTGAGCTGTGTGAGACCCTGTATTGAGACAAACATGAGAAATCGAAGACATAAAAGTAAAAATACAACATGTGCTTACGACATCACTTGAACCCTTTAAGCAGGAGTCATGTGGCTGTGGAGCTTCTCGATGGGTTTTTGTGTAAATGTGGGGGAAGGAGGATGAAGACCCCAGGGGGCCACTCCAGCTCGGATTTTTGTGGCTCCTTCTTACCAGCAAACATGGGGTCAAGGTGGAAAGCCCAGAGCTGTGGCTGTGTTCAACATGAAAGCAGGCCAGACCCTGAGAAGTCCTTCCCGTCCTCCCGCCACTGAACACACAGATGTGATTTTTTTAATATTATTTTATGTTGTGTGATATTTTGATTGCATTGTGACAATAAAGTTTTCTCTGCGTCAGAGGGCAGAGCTAGCCACTAGTTGACCAAAATTAACCACAGAGGTTTTAGACTGAGGACAGACGAGAGACAGGAAGTAGTAAGGCGGGGCTGAGAGAGGATCTCGGTCCTTCCGGACTGAGGAATGGAAGAGATAGGAGGTCACTGGAGGCTTCTCCAAAGCATCTCTCATCATTCAGGTTCTCACCCCATATGTGACTCCTGATTTTTTATTGATAAAGAATAATTAGATAAACACTTCAATTTTATTGATTTATGGGGGGGTCGGGGCACATGCCATGCATCCATGTGGAAGTCAAATAATGGCTTTTCAAGGGTAGCTTTTCTTTTCCTTCTGCTTTGTTTTCAAGGCAGGGTCTCTCCTTACTGCTTCTCCATGCTATCTGTGATTCCATCTCATCCTGAGTGGGAAGCAGGGTTCATGGATTCCAGGCTCTAAGAAAGAATACAGGTCCTTAAGTTGCACAGCAGGTACTACTCTTGCCCAGGGAGTTTTCTCAGCAAACCCAGCAACACTGATTTGAAAGCTATCTATTGTCTTCCTGGCTTCCTCCTGAGGTCCTCCTTAGTCCCTGTATGCTGCCTCCTACCTAACTGAGTCTTTCATGCTGCTTTCCAAAATCCCTCTCCCACCCCTCATCCTCCAGAAAATAACTTTTCCAGGATTTGCTTAATGGAAATGTCCAGATCCCAAGGAATTTCCTCCCTTCCTTGAAAACGAATGGCTTCCTCCTCTGAGGCTGCTGGGAGAGTCTGGCACCTGAGTTGTGGTAACTTCAAAGGCTGCACACATTTCAGCTCCAGAAGCCAGAGATGGCTGGGGGTCCCTTCTTCTGTCTCTGCCTGTGCTCAAACGGCCACCTGGGGGAAGGGCCCTGTTCTAATAAGTAGGTATTTGAGTTCACAGCTGTCCATGTTAATTGTACCTAGGAATAAGCATGGGTGTACAAAAGATACAATGCTTCAAGCTACCTTAAGATCAGCCTTGAGCAGCTTGGCCGTGGTAGCTCATGCCTTTAATACAGCACGCAGAGGCAGAGACAGGTGGATCTCTGTGAGTTGGAAGCTAGCCTGGATTACAGAGCGAGCTCTAGGGCAAACAAAGCTACACAAAGAAACCCTGTCCCAAAAAAACAAAAACAGAATTATTGGGGGTCTCAAAAAAAAAAACCAGCCTTGGGGCTGGGGAGTTGCTTGTTCCCAGGCCTCATGACCTGAGTCTTACTCCCAGACTGGCACTATGGGAGGAAACAACCGACTCCTTCAAGTTCCTTCTGATCTCACCTGTATGAGCACAGCGGCTGGTTCTTGCATGTGAACACACACGACATAAATAGATAAATAAGTAAACAAATAAACGTAGAAACGAAAGAAAGAGCCTTGCAATGCAGAGTCTGGAAGGGAAATCTGCATTCGGAGAAGGTCTTGGGTCCCTCACTTTGGTTGGTAATAAATATTTATGACTCAGTAACGAGTCACCCCCAAAACAGATTTTACTGGAGCCATGGCTACACGGCAGTGTGCTGATCACACATGTCTCTGCTGGCCTTTCTAAGAAAACCTTTACATTCACATTTTAAACTCTGTGGAGATTCTTTCCTTCCTTGAAAAACAAAAAGCAAAGAAAGCCTGAGCAGCTGTTTCCTATATGCAGCTGGATTCTGCCACACAACTGTTTCGCCTTTAGCGACTTTGTCAAGCTTAATTTGAGAGTAATCTGGCTGCAGGTGTCAGGTAAGAATGGGACACTTCCAAGGACCAGGAATCCCACAGAGAGGTCAGTTCAGGTGTCCCGGACAGAAGGGAAGCCAGAGGACCACAGGCTGGCTGTGTAGTGCAACTTCACCCCACTATTCTACCATGGACTCGGGGAGATGGTGCCTATGGGTGAAAGGGATGGGATTTTCATTGCCAGGTCCCCAGTAACATAAAATCTCACCATCAACCTCCGTAAATCATGCCGTGACAGCTACCGGGCTTGTCCAACGCTAAACATAAGCGGACTCTTCTTTTAAGTGGAGCTGGAGTCGCAGGCAGCACCATCACCAGTCTTCAGACATCTGCAGTTCATCTTATCGTTTGAAGAAATATATGAGTTTCACTGTCTTTTTTTTTTCTTTTAAGCCCTTTGCAGCTTCTGCTCCTTAACTTGTTTGAACACCATCTGCTACATATAAAATTGGGGGTGGGGGCGCACTGTGGAAAAAGAACATTTGGGAGATCTGTGGGTCGAGAGAAAATGCAAGCATTGGAACACTTTTATGGACATCAGAGCTCATCGACTTCCCTTTCTCAGCACCCGCCCCTCGTGGGCATTGAACTTGTGGTGCTGCCCTTGGCTTAGTCTAGAGCTCACTCTGGGTTTTGAGGGGTTTATTTATGTATTTACTGGTGTGTATGTATGTGTGTGGTGTATATGTGTGGTTTATGTGTATGTGGGTGTGAGATTGCAGAGACCAGAGGACAGATCTGGAGTCCTGTTCCATATCCTCCTTATACCCCTGAGACAGAGTATCTCACAGAGCCTAGAACTAGGCAGGCAGCCTGCAAGCCCCAGTGTTCCTCATGTCTCTATCCATCATAGATCTGAGGTTACATGCACCTGCAAAGCCACACCCAACTCTTTACATACATGCTGGGGATCTGAATTCAGGACCTCACAATTGCGCAGCATGTACTTTTACCAGCTGAGCCATCCCTGAAGCCCCCTCGTTCTGGTTTGGTCTTGTGCTGGTTCATTCCCTATTTAATAGACTTTTTGAGGGACCTTAGTGACAAAAATAGTCCTGCACGGGTGATTCTGGGGGTCCTTCAAGACATGGAAACCCACCTTGGGGATTGACCAAATGCCTCTAAAATGTCTGGAGAGGGTGGCAGAGCACAAATGCGGCACTTGGGAGCTGGCTGTAGAGAGTGATGACAAATGGAAGGAAGGCTAGCAGAGGGAGCGAATGTCATAGCATAAAGTCACCACAGGGTGGTACAAACTGCAGCGTGTGTTCTCCCTTGGGCTTGAGTCTCTGGGAAGCTGAGAGACAGAGCACCAGGCCACTCGGTTGGAAACGGGAGGGGGGTGCGCCCTCCCTGCTCCTTCTGCCTGAACAGAGGTGTAGGAGCTGAAATGAGCAATATATAGGCGCCAGATGTTTAAACACTTGACCCCTGAATTAATCACCACCTCTTTACACCCTTGGCCATGCCTGGTCCAGTTGCCTCAGCCCTAACATGGACCAGGCAACACACATAGATCAAATCCAGGAAGCCCCACTCTATTAGCCAGGAAATTAATTTAAATGATGTTTTTAATGACCAGGGTGCCCATTCTGGATGAGCTAAGCCAACAGTGGAGACAGAAATTTTATCTAAACTCTGGAAGATTTTTTTGCCACATGCAGCCTGTTGATCAAAGAATTATTCATAAAACTCAGTGGTTCCCACAGCCAGTTTTAACATTCCTACCAAAGGGAGGTCCAAACAGTAAAAAAATAAATAAATAAAGATGTAGACAGTGGAATGACCACCCAAAATTGTCTTCTGGCCTCCACACAGTCACACACATGTTCCCATGCACCTACACACATGACCAAACACACACATGCCACACACCAGTTACAGGACTAAAGGTACAGCCCAGTGGTAAAACACTTGTCTAATATGGATAAGACTCTGAGCACTGCAAAAATGTTTTTGACTGATTTAAAAACTCTGGGCAGTCTCATTACCATCAGCAGTATTCATTTTATTATCATAATTGACACAAGGGTTGAGTGACTTTCTGACTTTGTTCTTAGTGAGTCCTCTGTTTTATTTCTTCTGCTAAACTCATGCATCAGGCTGCATTAAAGATTCAGGTGATGCCTTGAGCCACGGCTCTTAGGTTTTTAATCTATTTTATTTTTAACTCTGTGTATGGTTGTATGCACGTACAAGTGAACGTGGGTGGGTGCCTTCAGAGACTAAAAGGAGCTATCAGATCATCTGGCTCTGGAGTTACAGGCAGGTGCAAGCCATGCAGTATGGATGCTGGGAACTGAACTTGGGTCCTCTTAACTGCTGAGCTATGTCACCAACTCCCTTGAGCTACGGTTTTTTAAAAACATTTTAAAGCACAAATCCCTGAAATGATACATAAAGAAATCACTAGATAGATCTTACGGCTTTCTTGGTCGGTTTGGTTTGGGGACTGGGCATCTGATCCAGGATTCTGGGTATATTAAGCAGTTGGCCCACCATTAAACTTCACGAGAGCAAATTGAAGGTTTGCTTTTTAATGGAGGGCCTACTCCTCAGGGTTCCAGCAGTGCAGGTCACCCCGACTGATTCTGACTTAACCATGAGGCTTTGCCTACCATGGGAAAGCAAAGATGAGCCACACTGGTCCCTTTCATGTTAACAAAAAGCTGCCATGGTCTCCTCATCTGTGCCAACACGCCTCCCATCAAAGTTGGTGGAAGACTCTAGGCAAGTAAGTCTATTTCAATACAGACTCACCCCACCATGCCCTTGCAAGGGCTGTACTGTGATGAGATAAAGAATTTTAGCCCAAAGGAAATAGGGGAGAGACCCTGTCAATCACAGTTTGTGCATGTGCATGTTCAAGTGTGTACACAGGTTTGCGTAAACTTAGAGGTTATAGGTCACCTGCAAATGCCCTTCTCAGGAGCAAGCCATCTTGGTTTTTGAGGGCCTCTCACTGTCCTGGAAGTTGCCATTTAGGTTGACTGACTAGCTACTGAACCCCAGGGAATCCACCTATCTCTGCTTCCTCAAATGCTGGGATCACAAGCATACTCCACCACTCCTCCATTTTTTTGTTTGTTTGTGGCTTGCTTGCTTGTTTCTAACGTGGGGTCTTAGGAAAGAACTCAGGCCCTCACACTTGCATGTCAAGCACTTACTGACTGAGCCATTTCCCCAGCTCTCAGTTGCTCTTAAAATGAGAAAATGAGCCAGATGCTTAATCCCAGCATTCAGAAGGCAGAAGCAGTCATATCTCCATGAGTTCAAGGCCAGAGTAGATGACATAGCAAGTTCCAGACCAGTCAGGAGATCCTGTCTTAAAAAACTGAAGTTGCAGTTTTTAGCTGCTCAGCAGAGAAAAATGTTTAGCAGAGCTCAGCCCATCTTACGGGTGGAGGAGCAGAGGCAAGTCAGGGTGAGCCCTACTCTCCATAGGAGCATCACTTTCCCCTGGGCTTCCCAGGAACTGTTCTGAGAAGGCTGTCCAGATCTGCCTATGGACTTTTATGCATGGGCTTCCAGGCCTTCTGAACTCTGTGATGCCATGACACCTCTCTGACAATTGCAGATGGTTGAAGATGAACTACCTCCTGCTTGAGGAATTGTGCAACTAGGAGGCCCAAAAGGTGTTCTGAGCACAGTTTGAAAAGATATCTGTCTTAGAGAAACTTCAACATCTCACTCATCAAAAGCCTGGCTGGATGACTTTTGGGGATCTTGGACTGCTTTAAGGGGCCCATCTTTACATCCATTTATTTTATGTGTGTTTTGCATGACTGTGTGCTCCTGTGGAGGCCAGAGGCCTCTGCTGGTGTCTTCCTTTACCATTCTCCTCCACCTTTTGGTCAGTCAGGGACTGGGGTGGAGGCAGTGTCTCTCACTGAAGCTGGAGCTCATCTATACGATAAAGTAGCTGGCTAGCAAGGCCCAAGGATCTTTCTGTCTCTGCCTCCCCAGCACCTGACTTCATAAGTCCTGGACTTTTCTGTATGTGAATGGTAGGGATCTGCACTCAGATCCTCATGCTAATGAGGGCAAGCACTTCATTAACTGAACCATCTCCTCAACCCTACGATCATTTATTTTAACCATTGAAATCTCCCACCATTGCTGGTTTTGTTCCTCTGCCTGAGCTGACCAGCCCAACTTGCCTTCTAATACTTTACCACATTTCCAGAGGGGTCCGTAAGTCAAGACTGAAGCATCAAGGAAGGTAGGACTTACTCGGATCTCATGTGCTTGGATTAAGTCAAGATTCATGGGTGAAGAGACAATGGAGACTCCTGGGCCAGACGCCCTCCCATCTCATAACTCACCACACTGTCAGCTTCTTAAACAGCAGTGTTCCTGGATGCTTGCTGGGACTTCGGAGGGAGTCTGAGGCTGTGGGTGAAAAGCGGAGCCCGAGACCACCCTTTAGAAGGCCATTCTCACCCAGCCTGGTGCAGACTAATGTTATTCTTGGGTCATTTAACTTCACTCTCAGGGAAAAATCAAGAATGGTGTTAAGTCGTAAATCTCTCCCCTCTGGAATGGATTTGAGCCAGAACGATCAGTTTGAGCATTCCTGCCTTGCTTGACCATGGTAAAGAGATTATGGTATGTAAGATTCGGCTAAACATAGCTTGTTTCGATTTCCTACTGTCCTGGTTGTCTGTCTCGCTATGAAAGGTTAAGACCTAGGAGAGGAAAAGTCATCCTCAGTGCGGATTGACTCTCACCCCAGGACATCCTATTCAGAGGCCATCCTTATAAGGCCATTATGGGGGACTCACAGGCCCATCAGAGAGATATTCATAAATTTGGCCTTTGGGGGCGTTTCACTTGGCCCATCTCACAAAGCAGTAAAAATCAGAAGGCACCAAACATCAGAAGCCTGTCTATGTGGTCTCAGTCCAGAAAACTCTGCTTATTCATATACTGGTTCACATGGTGGAAACTGACTTTCCTTTTCCCTGTTGGTAACTGAGAACCTAATTATACTGTAATTATCTTAGCGGGTCTACTTGCCCTACGGTAAACAGTTCTTGATATTCCATATGGAAGGTTCCCCGAGGTTGTAGTTCCTTAAGATTCACTCTTATAATCCAAATATCCAAGGTTAAGAAAATAAACTGGAGGAAGGAGAGAAGGCTCAGTGAATAGAGATGGCTGCCTCCACGCCTAAAATCTAGGGTTGGATTTCAGGGAGCTTCAAGGAGAGAATCAACTCCTGCAAAACATCTTCTGACCTCCACACACGTGTCCTGGTGCATGAGCTCTCTACCTCAATACAAGAACTCTCACACAAAATAAAAATACAGTGATTCCTTTAAAGGGTTGGGCCAGCAAGATACATAAATGGGTAAAGACTGCTGCCTCCAAACCTGATCACACGAGTTCATACCCCTCCCTAGACACAAATAGTACAAGGAGAAAACTGACTCCTCCAGGTAGTCCTCTGACCCCCACATGTATATTGTGGCATGGGGGTACACAGAAACACTAAATAAATAATAAATGTAGTTAAAACATTAAAATCCTGAGTTGCAAAAATATCTCAGTCAAAAAAAAAAAAAGCTAGCTCCTGTGTTTGATCCCCAGAACTCATGTGAAAAAGCCTGGTGTGGTAGTATGTCACTATGTGCTTATTCTCCCTGAGTTACAGAGGCAGAGACGAAGGGATCCTTGGAACTCACTGGCCAGCCAGCCTAGCCGACCTGGCCAGTTCCAGGCCAGTGAGAGACCCTGTCTCAAAAAAACAAGTTAACACCACTTGAGAAATGATACCCGAGGTTGTTCCCTGACTGTCACAGGCACACACACACATACACATAAACACATGGACATGAACACACAGGCACACACGTACAGGCCTGTGCTCACATACACACACAAGTACAAATATCCACATTTCTCTTGCCCATTTGATCACTTAAGTTCCCCCAGACTTGGAGAAACACACGATATCATCTCCACTGTCTTCAAGCCACTAAGAATTCTTTTGCTTTCTACAATGGAAGTCTGAAGCACTCAAAATGAAGCTGCTTCCCTGAACAGACACTGTAGATGGGGCATGGTTCAGGGAAGCAAGTCACCTCGATGGGAGAGTCGTATGCTACACCCATGCACTCCCATTCTCCATCCAGGGACAGAGAGAAGAGGGCTGCTGTGGTCAGTGTCATCAAGGATGTCTTCAAATGACAAATCCCAGCTTCCAGGCCAGGCTGTGCATTTGCCTTGCTGTGTGAGGTAGAACCAGGAGGTAATCTTGATTAGCATTCAACTTAGCTGTTTATCATAGGAAAATGTACAGCTGCAGTGGGAACTGTGGTTTTCACACAGCTATGACTGGGAGAAAGGAGATTTCATATCAAGAAGCAGATGTATCAAGAGATGAGGCCCCTGGTGCTCAGTCAGAGGATAAGAGTCCTTGGGGGGGAAAAAAAGGTGTTTTATATTTTCAAGCTCAAGAAACATACCTTGAGCTGGGTATATGGCTCAGCAGGTAGACTGCTTGCTTAGCATGCACAAAGCCCTAGGTTCTGTCCTCAACACCGCATAAAGCACGTGTGGTAGTTAGTGCAAGTCTGCAAACCCAGCTTTTGGGGAGCAGAGGCAGGAAAAGCAGAAGTTCAAGGTCATCATGGCCATATAGTGACTTCTAGATCAGCCTGGACTTTAGGAAACTTGACTTGGAAAACAAAAAAGGATATAAGGAAGGGAGGGATGGGAAGAGAGGAAGGAATGAAGGAAGGGAGAGAGGGGAGGGAGGGAGGGAGGGAGGGAGAGGCAACCATCTCTCACCTCTTCTCCACAAGTGTTCAGCCGATTTCTCCCCTCAAAGTTAAACCCCTAATTAACATTCCTTTCATGTACAATTGTAGAAGAAACACTTGAATTGGAAGGTTTACTAAGAGTTGTGGGAATTGTTATTAAAAAATTATTCTGCATAAAAACAGCAGATCTGGACCAAGATGAGTTTCCTGAATGTGCCAGTTATAGGCATTTATGCAATTTTACATGCATTTCATTTTCCTTTATGCTTGTTTTGATTTGTTGTGAGACAGAGTCTCACGTAGCCCAGGCTAGCCTCGTACTCTTTATGTAGCCGAGGATAACCTTAAACTTCTGATCTTTATACCTCTACCTCCTGAGTGCTGGGAATACAGGTCTGCATCACCAGGCCATTTGTATGTGGTACTGGGAATGGAACCCAGGGCTTCATACATGCTGTATAAATATTCTACCAACTGAGCCACATCCACAACCCCAAGCATTTCATTGCCCTCCCCTGCTCACGCTGTCACAGATACAGTACTCACTTAGTGATTTGAGCAATGGGGTTGCAGCCTTGTGAACTTTCTGGAACCTGTGAAGAGAATAAGAAGTGCTCAAACATGACCCCTTTAGAAAGGCAGTGCTCTAGGGCTGGGGAGATGGTGCCGTCAATAAAGTGGTTGCTGTGCAAGCATAAGGATCTGAGTTCAGATCTCCAGAACCCATGTAAAAGGCATGGTGATGCACACTTGCAATCTTGTGCTGGGAAGGCAGGGACATGTGGGCTCACTAGACAGCCAAGCTAGTGGAAGACTCTGTTTGGAAAGCAAGGTGGGAGTTCATAAAGAGCTGTTCTCTCCTCCACATGCATTCTGCCATTTTGATCTCTCTCTCTCTCTCTCTCTCTCTCTCTCTCTCTCTCTCTCTCTCTCTCTCTCTCTCTCTCTCTCTCTCTCTCTCTCTCTCTGAAAATGGAAAAGCATCATCCCCATGCTTTATATTTTACCTAAGATGTGGCAGGGCTGAGCTTTGCCCTCGCTGGCCCTTTCTCTGAGGTTAGGAGGCAAGACTGAAGACCCAAAGCAGGTGACAGGGCACAGCAGGGCAAAATCTTGGTCAGGTCCCTCTCTAGAGCATCTCCGGAGACACTGGGGACAGACCATCATGCGGCTGCCACAGGAAGAAATGCCTGCATAGCACCTATAAGGCAGAAAATGAGTTGTTGTCAGCCATCATGCCATTCCCAACTGGCTGTCTAGAGAGACCGGTTTTGGGTTTCCAGAATACCCTGCAGGCAGGAGTTAAGACAGAGCACCCTATACTCTACACACCTGGCTACAGTGTGAAATTTCAGTGTGTGTGACACAGAGCTGTGTAATACCTCTAACAACGCCTCCATGTTTGAAAACATCTGAGACAGGCTAAGAAGATGTCTCTGTGGGTACACGTTTGTCACACAACAATGAGGACCAAGAGTCCAGCCTCAACTATGCTCATTTGTAATGTCAGAGGCGAGGAGATGGAGACAGGGTTTCTGTGGCTCACCTGCAAGCCACTCTGGCCTAGTTGGTGGGTTGCAAGTAAGAATGAGAGACCCTTCCTCAGAACAACAAGGTAGAGGTCCAGAAAGATGAGTCCATGGCAGAAAGCACTTGCTGAGCAAGCCTGCCACCCCCAGTTCTGTCCCTGAAACCCATGAGAAGGTGGATGCAGAGAGCCAACTCTACAAAATTGTCCTGTGACCTTTACACAGTCACCCATATATCATGAGCACAGATACACACAAGGGTAACAATGATGGTGATAGATAATTAAAAAAAAAACAAGTGGGAGACACCTGAGGTTGACCTCTGATCTACACACACACACACACACACACACACCTATGACAGAGCATGCTGACAAAAAACAACTGAGAAGACACAGGGTTTGTTCTGGCTGACAGTTTCAGAGAGCACACACCATCCTAATGGGAAAGGCCTAGAAGCAGGAACATGAAGTTGGCCTCACCGCCAGGAAGTAATGGCAGAATGCATGTGGAGGAGAGAACAGCTCTTTACTCGTCTTCCACCTTGCTTTTCAAACAGAGTGGTGATAGAGGCAGAGGGATCCTTGGAGTTTTCTGATTTCAAGTCCAGCTTACTTGGCAAGTTCCAGGCCAGTGGGAGACCTTGTGATTATAAAAAGCAGATGGTGACTCAGGAGTAACAACCTGAGATTGTCCTGTGATCTCCATACATAAATACCCGCATACTACAAGAATGGTGATCAAGTTAAGCCTGGTGTTCTAAACTTGTCATCAAAACTGTTCAGGAAGATGAGGTGGGAAAAAGACACATGTTCAAGGCTTGCCAGGGCTACAGATAGAGTCTGAGTAAGCCTGGGCTACTTAGTGAGACCTCCCCAAAAGAACCAAAGGGAAAGAGCACCAGTTGTAGCTTTGGGTGGGCCATGTGCTTGACGCATATGTGATACTCATTACTGGGAGTGAGGAGACAAAGATAAACCTCACTGGAGCCATCTAGGTCTCTTCTTTGTGTGGGAACCTTACCCTTGCATTAGCCTGGAGCCTTTACACACCCTGTCTCCATTCCTCAGTCATACACCCTTCTCTACAAGCCACCTTCCTGCTCACCTGGTGGGCTGTGCGAAGCCTCCATTCTTAGCTCCAATGCATGCCCTCTGGAAGGAAGGCCTTATCCAGATCATGTCTCTGCCTTCTGCCTCCCACATGCATCCCTCCCTTACCCTAGGCTGCCCTTTGGAGCATTGCTGAACTGGTGAAGTCAATTGATTTTGGATGGCTTCTCACAGGAGACTGCAAACAGCAGGAGAGGAGGGCCCTGTGGGTTTTCCTCACTCTTTTCAAAGCTGGTATCTATCACAGTGCCTGAGGACATTGGCTTCAGCAACCAGATGATCAATAAAAGTGGGTGGACAAAGTAACCACCGGTGAGCTGAAAGCCAGAGAGGAGGGTGGAAAAAGGGGAAAGAAGGAAAGAGGGGAGGGAAGCAAGTGAAGGGGGAAGGGAGAAGAAGGGAGGGAGGGAGGAAAGGAAGAAGGAAAAGAGCAAAGGACTTGGAGAGGGAAGGATGGCCAGAGAGGTGTAACAATCCATTCCAGCACTGAGTTCCTTACCATCCCCAAGCACAGATCTGATTCCCAGACGTATCACTGTCTTTGTCCTTGTATGGCTTTAGTTTTTAAATTACTGCATTCTTATTTATTTTATTTGCGTGTGTGTACATGCCCCCATCACAGTGTGCGTGTGGAGGTCAAAGGACAATTTGTAGAAGCCAGTTCTCTCCTTCTGCTTGATGGGTCCCAGGGATTAAACTCAGGTCATCAGGCTTGATGACAGCCACCATCACTCACTGACCCTCTGTGTGTGGTTTTAAATGATTCAAGGATGCAATATGATGTAAGCAAAGAAGGGATGTCTGGAGAAGCTGTCTCCTCTTTGAGTGTGAGCCCATTTATTCATTTCACAGACAGCTCATGAATGATTGGCTCTGTGCTCAGTGCTGGGGAGCAACATGAGAGAAGCTGGGTCCCATTGGATCCCAGCTGATCCCAACCTTTGTGATCTTCAATATTCACTTTCCATCCTGATCCTCCATTTATTTACTCTGCAAAGCAAGCTGGTTGGGCGACCCTTACTGATAATTCCATAGTTAATTTCCTGTCATCCAAACTGGAGAATGATGAGAAGAAAATAACGATTGATTAACTTAACACTGTGATGATATTTTGTTTGTGCTTTAACAAATAAAGCTGGACTGAAAATCAGAGTACCGAGCTAGTCACTAGTTAGCCATAGAGGCCAGACAGTGGTGGCCCACACCTTTAGTCCCAGCATCCGGGAGACAGGATAGATGGATTTCTGTGAGTTTAAGGCCACCCTGGAGTACAGGAGATTGAGTCAATCTAAAAAAGAAACAGAACCACGCAGCGGTGGCTCACTGCTTTAATCCCAGCACTAGGGAGGTTATCTTGCTTGATAACCATTGATAGGTCACCTATTGTCATCTGCCTCAGTTTCCTTCACTATGGAGAATTACACAGAATAACTGAGAATTCAATAAGATAATATAAAGAAACATTATGGTGCCTGATCAGTGTCTTCTGTGGTGATATTGTGTTTGTGCTTTAACATATAAAGCTTGCCTGAAGATCAGAGAAGCAGAGCAGCCAAACACTAGTTCTTACCTCTACTGAATCCTCAGACCAAAGGGGCTATCCTGTCCCTACGAATCCTCAGACTGGATGCAATGAACTCCTGTCTCCTCCTGCCTTATATTCCTCACTCCACCCAGCCATATCATTCCACCTCCCTAGTGCTGCTCTGACTCAGCTTCTACATGACATCAGATCTGATGGTATTCCCTGCAGCGGTGGATTAGGCAGGATTAGATGCTGGGGGGATGAGAGAAGAGGGGGAGACACATTTTCATTTGTAAAGCAGGTGTCTCAACAATTGAGACTTTATTTTGATCTTTGAGATAAGACACTTTGTGGGAAGTATCATGTGTGCATGTGTATGCATGCATGTACCTGTATGTGTGTGTGTGTGGGGGTTGATGCCTGGTCCCTTCATCAGTTTCCATCCACTGTATTTTTGAGACAGGGTCTCTCACTGAGCTTGGTGTTGGCTGATTTAGTTAGACTGGCTGGCCAATGAACTCCTCACGCCTCCACCTGCCCCCAGTGCTGGGGTTACACACCCAAGCATGTCCTGTTTTTGATATGGCGCTGAGGATCCAAACTCAGATCCTCATGCTCACATAGCAAGCATTGTACAGCCTGAGCCATTTCCCTGGGGCTCCCAGACACCTCTTCCCAGATGTATGAGTGTCCAAGAAAACCTCAAATTCCACGACAGTATCAGAAGCACACACCTTCTCTGTCTGGAGCTAGTCTTGTTTGGAGGAGACTGCCATGGCTTCAGAAGACAGGTCTCTAACTCAGTTCTGCACTAGCTGCCATCTGCCTCAGTCTGACACCAAGAGTGAGGCCTCACGAGCAAAACAGTTCAATTGGGCCTGACAGCTAAAACCTGGACAATTTCACATTAGCATTCCAGATAGTCCACTTTGCCTGAATTATCCCTTAATCTGACCACAGTTGTCCACAGTTGCTCAGACAACCAGCAAGGGAACTAGCAGGAACTGCCCCTGCACCTTTTGAGACATAATCTCTCAGTGTAGTTGGTCTCAGAGCCTTCAATTTCCTGTCTCAGCCACCCCAGCTAGAGCTCACTACTTTAGAGAGACCTGCTCCTTCTGATTGACCACAGGCACTGTCACTCTACTGACCTCTCTAGACATTTGAGTCTGACTATCTGAGAACTCAGGACCAGTCAAGGTCTTGTGGGATGGTTAATCTTAATTGTCAACTTGATGGGGCTTAGAATCCTCATGGAAGCCAGCCCACAGGCCTGTCTGTGAGGGATCTTATAGAGTAGGTTATCTGAGGTGGGAAGACCCACCCTATATGGGATACCACCATCCCATGAGCTGGGGCTCCTGACCTAGCAAAAATAGGAGAAAATAATCTGTGTGACATCATTCTTCTCTCTCTGCAGCCTAAATGCAGATGCAGCGTGACCAGATGCTCCGAGTCCCTCTGCCATGATTTCTCAACCATGATGGACTGTACCCTCAAACTGTGAGCCAAACAAACCCTTCCTTCCCTAAGTTGCTGTGGCCATTGTGATGGTTTGAATGAAAATGTCCCCCACTGATTCATGAATTGGAATACTTGGACCCCACTTGGTGTGCTGTTGGGAAGGATTAGAAGGTGTAGACTTGCTGGAGGATATATATTACTGGGGTCAGGATTTGAGAACTTTAAGACTTACACCATTTCCAGTTGCTCTCTCGTCTTCACAATGTTTCTCTCTCTCCTTTTTTTAAAAAAAACTATTTTTCATTTTACATACCAACACCAGTTCCCCTTCCCTCCCCTTCTCCTGCTCCCCCCCCCACTTTTACACCCCCAGGCACACCTCACAGTGGGTGAGACCTTCTTTGGGGAGTCAGAAAAGTCTGGCATACCAAGTTGAGGCAGAATCAAGCCCTTTCCCACTGTACCAAGGCAAAGCAAGGCATCCCACCATAGGGAATGGACTCCAAAAAGCCAGTTCATGAACCTAGGATAGGACCTGGTGCCACTGCGAGGTCTCCTGCTGCCCCCCCGC